ATGAGTTCGGCTGGGGACTACCTGATTTGAAGAGTGTGTGAAACATACCAATGAGGACATCCACTGGTCATTTAGATGCAGGGATCTGCCCCTCAGACGGCAGTCCCAGGCTGAGTGGGATATGGATTTGGGAGTCATAAAGCCTATAGATACAACTTGAAGTCATGGGAGTGAAGGACATCATCCAGGAAATTGCAAAGCATGAAAAGAGAACCGAGAACAGCAGAAGGACTTGGAAAGGAGCCTGCGGAGGATCCAGAGTGAGGGGTAGAACAAGGAGAGAGTGGGGTCAGGAAAGGAATTTTGAGAAAAGAGCCATCCTCAGTCCATCAGGGGTCAAGCAAGATGACACTGCAAGCTAGCCACTGCATTTGGCAATAGGAGGCTATTGGTGACATTTTGGAGCCCAGGGGAGAGCAGAATTAGTGCTTTTGATTACATGTAGAGAAACAACTCGAATTACACACAAATCTGAGTTCAGTTTTCATTGCCACCCCTCTTTTAGCTGTGAGACCTTCAATAAACAAGCAAACCTTTTTATTTTTTTTTTCTTAATGTATTAACTTGAGAGAGAGAGGAAGGGGGAGAGGGAGGGAAACATCGATTTGTTGTTCCACTTATTTATGCATTCATCGATTGATTCTTGTATGTGCCCTGACTGGGGATCAAACCCATAGCCTTGCTATTGGGATGATGCTCTAACCAACTGAACTACCCAGCCAGGGCTTAATTCTTTTAAAAATTGTATTTAATTTTTTTTCAATTTTCATCAAACCTTACTTTGAGGAATAGTTGAGATAAAAATAAATAACAAGGGGCTAGACAGTCTTGATTGAACATGACTGCCACATTTCATCTCCCCCTACCTCTCAAAGCCTTACTGACCTAACATGAAAGAAATATAAAAATATATTAAGTCACAAAAGTTCAGAGAAAGCAGCAACGCAATAGCAGATGAAAGTTCAACAAATATTTGGAAGCTAGAAGGCAGGTAGGGGAATGTTATCTGGCTTCAAGCATCTTAAAAAGAAAAAACAAACTAAGTGCCAATGAGGGGAGATTACCAGCGAGAAGCAACTCAGTTCACCCAGTTTAACCTTGAAGAGGTTTAATGTTTGAAGCACAAGTTACCATAGAAAGTCAGAAGTGAGATACGGAGTTAAACATGAGGATTGGCTGAAGTCTGTATGGACAGCACTTTGCCCTCACCCCAGAGCTGCTCTCTCAACCGGCAGACAACCACTCTAGCTCTCGCTGCATAAGGAGAAAGGAATCTGAACGCTGGAGGCCTTCATACTCAGGGAGCGCAGGCATAGTTTTAAGGGCAGGGATGACATGTAGGGTGGAAAACGGAGCAATGGGTGGAAGACTACATACTGCATTGTGGCAGCCCCAGGCCCTCGTCCCCCACTACCTCCAGGATGGCAGTAACCAGGTATTTGTCAACCCCACCTCCTCCCCCTCCCTGGGAAAATAGAAAAGTCTTCTCCAGAGACCCTGAGGGCCCCAGAAGGAAAAAATCCTCCACTGACTGACATTGATGAGGTCCTTAATGAAAGACTGGCTGTTGCCTGATGACTACATTTCTAAGAACTGAAGGGCTTAGTATAGTAAATGAAAAGACCTGCACCAAGGCCTTTCATCCTACGTTTTCAGAAGAGGTTTTAAAAGCATCAGGAGTGAAAAAACAAGCCAGACAGGCACAGGAATCAGAATGAAGTCAAGACTTCTCAACAGCAATACTGGGGAGGCTCAATCCCAGGGAAGATTATTTCTAACATGGAATTATACACCCAACCAAGCTAACATGAGGTCAAAAACATTTTCAGGCTTCCAAGAACACATACAAAAAATAGTTTTCATTTCTTAGGAAGCTCCTGGAGAATGTGCTTCAACAAAAAGAGAGCGAAAACTAGGAAGGAAGATGAGGTGAATCCAGGCAACAGGGCAATCAACAGAGAAGACTGATAAAAGGAAATCCCAGGACAATGTTTGTGCACCAGGTTTAGCCAGTAACCAGTCCAAGAACAAAAGACAGTGGGAAGAAATCTCCAGGGAAAAGATGGAACTAATCAGTTAGAGCTGAACATTAGCAAAAATCATTGCTACACGTTTGGAACATTTGGAAGAAAACAGCTCTAGGTACCCCATATTTTGCTATGTATAAAGAGCACTTTTTTGCCCAAATTTTGGAGGTAAAAATAAAGATACGCATTATACATGAGAATTAGCACTAAAACATGGGTACACATTATACACAGCAAAATAAGATACATAGAAAACTAAACAATTGGATAAAGAAATTAACTCCAGGTAAAACCAATTCGAGAAAGAAAACGTAATAGATTACAGCTTGAATACACAATGTTTATTTACTTGGCCAATAATGTAAACACTAACTGTTGATTTAACTATAAATTGTGGAAAACTATAGTATTGTGAGAATGAGAGGGAGAGCTAAGTCCTCAATTGCCAGAATATATATATTATCTAAAATTGATAAATAATAGTAATGTACTAGTTTGCTAGGGCTCCCATAACAAAGTACCACAGACTTGGTGGCTTAAAACAGAAACTTACCTCACAGATTTGGAGGCTCTGATCAAGGTGTTCGATATAAGGTGCTATGGGTTGGTTTCTTCTCTGGCCTCTCTGACTTTTAAATGGCCAACTTCTGTTGTCTTCATATGGTCTTCTCTCTGTGTGTGTTTGTGCCCTAATCTTATATTGAATTAGGGTCTGCCCTAATGACCTCGGTTTAACTTAATTACCTCTTTAAAGACCCTATCTCCAAATATAGTCACCTTCTGAGGTACTGGGGATTAAGGGGCAAGGGGGACACAAGTCAACTCATACCAAGTAGTATAAACTTATTATTTGAAAATATAGAAGTAAACACCAGAAGAAATAGCCAAAACAGTGGAAAGGGGCGGTTTCTGGAGTGAGACTGGAGGATGGCAAGGGATAAGGCAGGTACTACTGATGTTTTTCGAAATAGCGAGTGGGGAGCTGGACCTTGAACCCGGTCTGATGTCAGCTCTCACGCTCTTCCACTCTACTGCCAGAACTGGAGTCCCTCAAGGGCCCGAGGAGCACCATGTTCATCGCCACATCAGCTGCAGCACCTTGCCCAGTGCCATGTGATGGGCCTTCACTACATACTCACTGATTTAGCACGGTATCACTGTGACCTTCAATGCTGCCATTTCTTGGTTTTCTTTTCTGTTTAAAAAAGATGGAGCCCTGGCTGGTGTGGCTCAGTGGAATGAGCGCTGGCCTGCGAACCAAAGGGTTGCCGGTTCAATTCCCAGTCAGGGCACATGCCTGGGTTGCAGGCCAGATCCACAGTAGGGAGTGCGCGAGAGGCAACCAAACATTGATGTTTCTCTCTCTTTTATTTTCTCTCCTTTCCTCACTCTCTAAAAATAAATAAATAAATAAATAAAATCTAAAAAGAAGAAGAAGATAGGGAAGACAGATCTGCAAGTGGACACAATATGGAATATCCAGCGTGGTGTCCTAGAATTGCTGGATGTATCTCCGATAGCACTTTGAGCATTGATCCTAGAGTGGGTCCGTCCACAGCAGAGCAGGGGCACAGGGTGCTTTCCTGCCTGATTCGGCTAATGGGGGTGTTTCAACCCCTCCTCCCTGGGGTCCAGAACAGCCACTGCTCCCCCTTTTCTTGAGGCCAGTTGGGCTATTGAAGATGGCCACGGACTCTGAGAGTTATTCTCAGGCTTAGGGCTGTAATGTTATTCGCAGTGATTGATGCATGTTCCCATGAAAGCTTTTGGTCATTTTTGTGTTGAGGTTGATCCACAGTTATTCATCTGGCTGCTCAGGCTGACGGGATTTCGTGGCTGTCTGTATCCCAGAGGCTACGTGACGCCCTTCCTGGGAGCACATATCTAGTGTCCTCTGGGGAGTACAGGAGGTTGGTGTGTATGTATGTCTGTCTCCGCATGCTTCAGATTATTGCTTCCTAATAAAATTCTGATAGCCGGGCCCCATCAATATCTCAAATACATGTGAGGAAACGTTAATTTAGAATCAATTTTAGGATGTTTCAGACTGTAAAGTCCTTTTAACTAGATCTCTGGCAAAGATGTAGAAGCACTTTATGGGACTGTAAATTTCATGTTGAACCGTCTTCGTGAAATACACATCTCCCCTACACACAAGCTGTTCTCTCCATATCAATCATGGCCACTGCAAGTAATGTTTCACAAATATTCTGTAAATCACAGAAAACCCCATGATAATGTGAAATATGACTTTCACTTGTCTGTTAGACAAAAGAATCACACATGCCTCTCTCCCATCAGCACTAACATTTGTTATGGATAATAACACTTTCAATCACAACTATTTTTGGAAAACGGGTTTATTTTAAACCTTCCCTCCCCCCACTGAAAACATTCTCCCAAGGACACAGCCTCCTACAAACCACAGCCCATTAATCCAACTATGGAATGGGAACTTTTTCTTCCCACTAACTTTTTTAAAAAGTTGTTTTTTAAGAGAGTTAGTATAAAAGCCCAAGGAACTAGGTTAAAGGGTGCTGTACCTGGGCTGATTGGCATAAGAGGGGGCCAGGCCTCTAAAGACCCCAAATATCTCACCCCGTGTGAAGTGGGGGGGTGAGAGAGGCCTCGGTCTTGAGCAAGCGCCTTCTTCTCAGCTGGATCCTGCGGTTCTTTTCATTACTGGCGTCAGCAGAGAAACCAAAGAGCTAAAATTTTAGCCCTTAAACTTCAGTCAGGCATTTACTACCTTGATAGTCTTAATTCCATTACAACATAGCTAGATCTTCCCTGTTAAGAGTCACAGGTCACCAGTTGTACAAGTGTATTTTGAATGTCACTGTATCCATGTGGGTGACAGAGGCTCACCTGCTTCCAGTTGATTGCCAGAAAAGCAAAACCCGTAGCGTAACCTACAGGACATGCATGTTTCTAAACATTTTGGTAACCTGTCTGTTTTCTTTTCCACTGTAGCCAACGTCAGGACTGGTTGATCATGACTTCTATAAAGGAGCAGGCAGCAATTAGCCGGCTCTTGAGTTTTTTACAGGATTGGGACAATGCTGGAAAAGTCGCAAGGAGTCACATCCTCAACAATTTCATTGAAACCAACCAAGGCAGGACTGCCCCTGAGCTGGAGCAGGAGTTTTCCCAGGGGGCCAGCTTATTCCTGGTGCGCTTGACCACCTGGCTTAGATTCACGTATCCTTTGCTGAACAGAAAGGGGGGGAAAAAGCTATATTCAATAGGAAAAAGGGGAAGCTTATCGAGGGAACTCTCCTCTCCATTCTAAGATTTTAGAACAGGACATCTGGTGATCAAAATATCATCCCAAAAGTCAAGAATTCCCTCAACTTCCCGCCTTTCCAACCTGTAAATATATCCTTATTCTCACTCCTAACCTCTTTTGTGTCCCTCAGAGTTGAAGTTGGTAGTCCTTCGGTCTGGAGCTAATCCTCTATTGGGATTGTACTTGAGTCCCCCACCGTCTTCTCAGGGCCTTTTTTCTTTCTCTCCTATAGTTTCCACCTTTTCCTCATTACCAGCTTTTTGCATCAGCATTTATATCGGCTCAAATCTCTTCTACCTTAATTAAATCCCTGTCTCAAACCTGTATTCCTCCCAGTTCTTTCTCTTTGTGATGAAGCATCTCTCTAGGAAAGGTTATTGGTCTCTGTCTCCGCTTCCTCACCTCTCTTTTCTTCCCCACCCACTGCATGTTGACTTCTGTCCCCTCCACTCCACTAGGCAGGACTTGCCAAGGTTACCAATGATGTGTTTCATAGCAAACACAGTGACTACAACCTCACTCTTCATGCATGACCTCTCAGTTGCGTTTGGCAGTCAGCCATTCCCACCTCTTAAAGCCCTCTTCCCTTGGTTTCTCTTGGTTTCTCTTGTTTTTCTCCTTTCTGTTCATTCCATTTCTTCTTCAGCCACCCCTTGAGTGCTGGCATTCCTTGGGACTCCATCTGCCTCCCTCTTCTCTGCTCACTCTCAGATTCTCCCCGAGTGATCTAATCCATCGTCGGCACCATTCCAGTTTAAAAACTCTCACATGTGTACCCTTGCACACATTTATCTCTGGAATGGTGTTCCATATCCATTTACCCAACTCCACGTACATCTCCAAGGATAACTCTCACGTTTCTGGCTTGGGGGAAATTAAGCAAATGGTATGCCATTCTGTGAGAAGAGAGTACAAGAAGAGGGGTGAATTTAGGGGTAAATAAATTTGGTTTAGGAAATGCTGAATTTAGGCGCCTGAGCTCAGGAGCCCTAGAGGCAGACTGGGGCTGAAGACAGATTTGTCACTGTCAAGGTGATAGTTTGAAATACGGGTGGATTTGAGCATATTCCTGCTCTGTGTGCCCATTAACACTCCATTGCTTCATCTCAGATTCTTTTATTAAACATTTTTCTCCTTCCCTGAACCCTCCTCCTCCTCTACACTCCCTCTTTATTTGACTAATTCCTACTCCATTTTTCAGATCTCAATTTAAACATCACTTTTTTAGGAAGTCCTTTTCTGAGCCCCAGACTAACTTAGGTTCCCTATTATCTATCCTCATAGCAAGCACTTCTTCTATCTTAATGCTCATAACATTTTATTTTATTACATGCTTAAAATCTCTTCCCCCGCTGGACTGTAAACACGACGAGGGCAGGAATTGCATCTGCTCTACTCATCTCTGTATTTCTAACACCTTAGCACAATGTCTGGTGCATAATGGGTGCTTAACACATGTTTGCTAAATAAAGGAAAGAATGAGCCAGAGAGTCTGCAGCTACACAGAACTAAAGGCTTAAATCAACACAGCTCTCTTTTTCCTACAGTTAAGTCATTGATGAAATTATTAATCAGACTCAGGCCTAGAACACAGACCAAAAGGAGCACCACTGAATACATTGCTAGGCTGGCCCCAACATTCTCAGATATGAGTATGCAATGAAAGAGGTTTAAAATGCAGACTGCGAGGCTGCCTCCCTACCCCCACCTAAGGACCTAATTTAGTAGAATGAGGGAGGGTCCCTGGGCTCTTTATTTTTCACAAGCATTCTAGGTGACTCTGATATGGTGGTGCACAGACCATGCTTTGAGAAACATCAGCACCTATAACCTGGCTTTGTCCCCACAACTCATGACACTACCCGCGCCAAGGTTATCGGCAACCTCCTTGACACCAAATCTAGAGTACTTTTTTCCCTCCTTATCTTCCTTCACAGCGTTTTCCATTTGACCACAGCAGGGAATGTGTGAGGCAGAATCGCACCAGTGCAGAATCGCATCCCACCTTTATTTAAAACTTTGATATTGTATTTATTGTGGATTTTTATAGCAATTTCTATGTGTAATAGTACATTGAAATATTATTTGATAAGTGAGTTTTTCTGGTGCCACCTGAAGTTTTATACTGAATCAAGTGTTTCACTCACCTTACCCCAGCCCTGGCCCTGCCTGACCACTGGCCCCTTCCTCCTTTTTCTTTTTTAAGTTCAGGGATGCCCACAAATCTGAACTTGTATGTCCATGACCCAGGAGTGCAGGGAGGTACAAAAGAGGAACCCTGACAATTCAACCCTCTCGAATCAGGACAATGCCCTAACCAAGTGAGCTACGCAGCCAGGGCTCTGACCACTGCGCCTTCTTAGGCTCTTCTCGCTCCTCTATCTTCTTCCATTTCTGTTTCTCAGGCCCTATTGCAGGATCTTTCCTACCCACCCGTTAAGTGTTAGTGTTTCCAAGAATTCTGTATTCAGCGCACTTCTTTCCTTCCTCAATCATTGCTCTTATTACCAGTGTTCTTCTTTATATCCTAAGTGCCGACCAGAATGCTTACTGAATGACTAAATGAACCACATTTATAATATACAGATGTATATTCAGTTTCTACACCTGAAATTAATGATAATTTCCTAACTTTTTGTGACCTTATTACCCAACAGACAAAATAGACCAGCTGAGTGACATAGGGCTTTGAATCAGTAACCCCGCTTCTTCCCCCCAGCCCTCCAGTTACAGTGGATTTTGAAGGAAAACAAGTCACTATAGCATCATCATATTTTGCACAATTAACTATCACGTAATCCCACATAAGCCTCAAACCCTTTTTTTAACTTTGAACACACAGAATATATGAGTGAAACTAAGGATTTGTATATTATAATGACAAAATTATTAGTTATTTATTGAGTCATTTTCTAGGCACTGAGTTAGGTGCTGTACAAATATTATATGAGCCTAACACCGAGCCTGATAAGTGATTGGTATTATCCCATTTTATAGATAAGAAAGATGAGCCTTTTAAAGGTTGAGTAAAAAGCAGAAATAAGGTTTGACAGGTCTGTCTGCCAAAAGCCCACATGCCACCCAGTCTACTTCATTGTCGCCCACCCAGTGGACAGTGCAGACCCTCAGTTCCACCTCCAACACCATACAAGATTAGCTGCATGAATAGCCATGCAGCTGCCTACAGGCAGGAAGACCTGACTGTAAGAACCCAGACTCTGAGTTAGACTCCCTAGGTTCATGTCCTAGGTTCCATCAGTTAACATGGGAACCTTGGACAGGTCATTAACTTGTCTGAGATTGTTCCCCATGAAGTGAATGGAAACACAGTGATAGCACCCACTGCAGGGTGTGGTGAGCATTCAATGAGACAATGCAAGCACAGTAGTTAGCACAGTGCCTGGCACACAATGAATGCTTTGCACTTGTTAGCTACTACTGCTATTGTGGTAGGCTTCTGGAACCAATTGCTGAAATGCTGAACCAAAATTACCTATGAATGAGTGGCTATGAAAATAGGACTAGCCTGGGACAGGAAAGAGATGATGAAAGCTGGTCAGCCTCACTGGTAACCGAAGAAAAGAAGGAGAATGCACAGGGGGCAGGAACGGGGGCTGGGGTTTGGGAAGGCAGAGTGGAAGGCAAGGTGGGAATAGAGGCTCCCATGTGGGCTGATTGCCAGGCTTCCAGCTGTAGCGGCAACAGGCAGAGGAGACTGGCTTCAGAGCAAACACTGTTTTTGCAGGGAAGAGCCTTTCCTAATGAGCCAATCTGTCTCTACTTCTATTGGCATCCTGGGAACCAGGGTGCAGCAGAGATAATTTGCCTCACGCACCCTCCCCCCCAACAAAGCACCATTACCTCCAACCCATTACATTAGCCTTTATCAGTCTTGGAAGCTCTCAGTCATCCTCCATGAGCTGCAATAATTTCAGCTAATTTCTTAAGTGTTCTAAGAGCCTGTGATGTGTTATGAGCCTAGTAATTGTTGACTGGTTCCTTTTCTGTTGTGGCTTGATTTCATACCTTATATCCAAGCTGATGCGTGCTCTGGGTGCTTTATTACAATGAAGCTTTTTGCAAAGGCTCACATTAAAAATAACATTAAATACTGAGGTTGTTTTAAATCAGAGTTTAATTTTTCCGCTCTCTCCTGTTATTCTTATTAGGAAGACATGCAATTCTTCATAAAAATAGTGACCTCCAGTGTAAAGCTTTGAGCAAGTACAAAATTGAGAATTAATGATGAAGCTGATTATTTTTAGAGAAGTCTAAGAATGAGGCACGAAGTAATGAACTGTGCTGAGACCCAAGGGTGCTAATGGTCATGGCATAGAGAGGCTCGGAAAATTGACCACCAGCTTCCTCTGTGCACCTTTTATTCATCAGAGACTCCTCGCTCCCTAGAGAGCCTGCCGGAGCCAAGGTGGCAGAACTACCCCAGGAGAGCTTCCTGGAGAACCATGAACATGCCTGCCGCCCCCATGCCCCTTCCCCATGTGTGTGTGACCCCTTCTCCTGCAATCTAGTGGCCTTTCACAGATAAAGGGCTCAACTCAGCTGTTAGTTGTCCTAGGCCATTGGTGGTGCCAGGGACCAGACACAGGGTCTGGTTTCTGTGTGGAAAGCCACCCCGAAATTCACTCTTTAACTTTTCATACAGCTATATGACTGGCACATGCTTAGAGAAGATTTTAAGGTCCATTGGCATCTTCTTATCGGCTGTAAGCAGGTGAGTTCTATTCTGGAGAGACGCTAGGTTCTCAGTTGCATATCCGGCTTGTGCCGTGTCCTTGGCATTCATACCACATGCCACCAGGGCTTCTAATGATCTGTGAGTACCTAGCAGCCCCCAGGATGGGCCCAGAGGTGGTGTCAGCTGTGGTTCTGTTCTATTGCTCCTCCATCCCATGTCCTCCTTCGACCCTTTACCAGTCAGCATCCCATTGGTTTTTAAAATACACAAAATCAACTCATATTGGACCAGGAAAAAAGGGAATTTATTAGCTCACTTAACTGAAAAACCCAGAAGGTAGAAATCCATATTTCAGGCCTGACTGCGAGGGGTTCAGGGTATGTCATTGGCACTTGGTCTCTCCCTCCCTTTTCCTCCATTTCTCAGCCCTGTTCTCCTATGTATTGATAGGCCTTATTGTGCTGTGGGCCCCAAGAGCTCCAGATATGCACCCTTATAGCTCATCCACACCAAAAGGAGAACATATCTTTCCCAAGGGTTCCCAAGAAAATCTCGGGTTTTGAGCCTCAATGGACTGACTTGGGTTACACACCTGGCCCCAAACAAGTGACTACAGTCAGATGGATGCCATACCCTGTCACCTGCTTGCCTTACCAAAACCACAGGGCTCATGAGGAGTGGAGGGGGACTCCCCAAGGGACAGTTGAGGTGCTATTACAAGAAAAACAGATGCTAGAAAACCAGACACAAGGAATGCTCATTGCATTGACTTTTGCATTTTGCTGAATGCAAAAAGGAGAATTTCCCAACTATTGTGTCACTTTACCCATGAGCATTTCCTGGGTGGGAGGGCAAAGTATGTGAAGAAAGAACCTTGAGATCCCTTAGGAAGGTCTTGCTGAGGAATTTGACAAGTGTCTTTTTTCTATTCTTCCATCCCTCTGGACAGTAATCGGTACCTTATAGAATTCCTTGAGGTTGGAGGCGTCCTAACACTCTTAGAAATACTTGGGCTGGAGAAGATCAAAGAGGAGGACAAGAAGGAATCCATCAAGCTACTTCAGGTTATTGCAAATTCTGGCAGAAAGTACAAGGAGCTCATTTGTGAAAGCTACGGTGGGTACTGCGTGTGTCTCCCCCGGGGCCTGGGGGAAAGGGTGGCGGCACCCAGCACTGCTACAGGAAAATGTGTCACGGAACTGGTTGTGCTGGAAGCACTTTGTCCTGCAGACTCAATTAGCTCCCATCCATATTTATGATTTCTCTGATTCATCATTTGCTCAAATCTTTCTTTTGTGGTTTCGGAAATAACTTTTCCATTTTAAATATATCCTTTTTCATGCATCCATTCAACAAAGATTTATGGAGTCATTGCCTAAAATCCTTTGTGAAATTGAGTTATGACTAACTCTGGAAATAAAACTGAAATAAAATCATTGCATATGAGTGCTAGGTATATGCTAAGGTGCTGGGAATACAAAGATGAAGAAAATACAGTCCCTGTCCTCAATGCACTTACAGTGTGGTGAGAAGGCTAAATAACCCAGGATTTTCAGCATGATCTATCAAGCACTCTGAGGAGGCATGTAAAGGAGACAGCACCCCCTATGCACCCCTCTTCCGAAGCACTTCCCTTATTGCACTTGAATCATGGCTCACTGTGTGTCCCCTATGGCCTCTCTGAGCCTCCGTGTATTTATCCGTAAAAATGGGACTAACACCTCCCTCCCAGTATAGTTCCTGGATTAAATGATGTAGTATTTGTCAAAACATTTTGTAAACAGCTGAGCACTATGCACATAGCAATAGTAAGTTATCACATAGCAATAAAAAAAATACATGTTTTTTATTTATGCATTTTGCAGAGCCATTTTAAATTTTGAAACAGTTTGATAAGCTGAGACGCCTATGCTGAAACAAAATCCTCCGGCCTCTGTAGCCCATGGTGAACAAGACAGTGTGATGCAACAAGAGACTAAGCCTCAATTTTGCTTTGATTGAACAGGCTTGGTTAAATTCATCTTAATCCTGTTACCTCATGTTATGTAACCTTGAATGGAGATTGTTGTCATAAATCCCTTCCAGTTTAGCATTTCCTCTTTTCTTTGTTCAGGTGTACGATCCATAGCAGAATTTTTGGCAAAGTCTAAGTCAGAGGAGACCCAGGAGGAAGTGCAGGTTCTGTTGGATTCTTTGGTCCACGGCAATCCCAAGTACCAGAACCAAGTGTACAAAGGTCTAATAGCTTTACTGCCTTCTACGTCCCCAAAAGCTCAGCAGCTGTCCTTGCAGACTCTCAGGACTGCCCAGGTGAGCCCAGGCTGCAGGCTCCTGTGGTTCTGATTCACACACAGTAATCTCACAATTACCTTCCACAGATGCACTCCACGTAGGCATGAGAAACAGAGCTCAGCCTCCCACTGCATGTCTGTTCAATCAGTGTTACTTCTAAAAGGCCAAGGCAGGGCAGAGAGTTCATGTCTCCCATCAGAGTGATTTGTCCTGTTTACTTAAGGATCAGAAAGATGTTGACAGACTTAAAAATACTTGAGACAAGCAACAAGGATGATGAAAGGACTGTAGAAAAGATTAAAGGAGTCAATTTGATAGGGAAAGAATCATGGTGCATTTGTAGACAGTGTGCAAGTGAAAAGACCAGATCTCCAGTGCTGGGGAAAACGCTTTCCCTTGTCTTCTTTCTGGCTCTCTGTTAGAGAGCGCCCTGGAATGTGAGCAAAGTCAGGTTTGGGGCATGGTGACCGCATGAAGACACTACGCCTGGTAAGGAGGGAATTAGTGACTCAAAGAATGGTTTTCAGATGAACCATCACGAGCTCTTTCAAAACAGCTCCAGGATGGGCTGGAGGCAGGGGGATAATTAAAAGACCAAAGAGATGATAAGGCCAGAACTGTGGCTATGGGAATACAGGTGACCAGGCTGGGCAGACATTTTGGAGACAGAATGCATGGGACTTGAGGCGATGAAAGGAAAGGAGTCAAAGATGACATTCAGCTCTGAACTTAGCGTAGTGAGTTGTGTGCCACAGAGAGAGTAGGAAAAACCTATTTGATTTGGAGAGTTAGGTTTTGATTTGATAAACTTAATGAGCTTTGGTGGCTCCCAAGTGCCCATCTGAGGAGCAGACCAGGCTGGTTACAGAAGATACAGATAGGTCACTTATTTAAAACATATTTAATTCTGCCCTGACTGGTGCGGCTCAGTTGGTTAGGTGTCATACTGCAAAGCGAAAAGGTTGCCAGTTCGATTCCCAGTCAAGGCACATCCTGTGTTGCAGGTTCAGTACCATCAGGGCACGTGCAAGAGACAGCCAGTTGTTTCTCTTGTCACATCGATGTTTCTCTCCCTGTCTTTCTCCTTCCCTTCCCCTCTACAAATAGATAGATAGATAGATAGATAGATAGATAGATAGATACAGGATACTTAATCTTGAGCCTCCCTCCCATAGAATCTGACAGCTCTCATGCGGCCTTTAGTTATGCTTTTTCTTTTTAACTCCCTAAGTAATTCTGGTTCCTAGCTCAATTGAGAAGTCACTGTTCAAGGCACCTCGTAGAAATGCCTGCTGGACAGTAGAAAATAAAAAGCTGAAGCTTCGGAGAGAGACCTGAGGAGAGGGTGGCAGTTTGAATTTTCATGAGCAGAGAAGTGATAGCTGAAACCATGAAAGTAAGTAAGATGACCATGTGAAATATGTGAAGTAAAAAGAGAAGGAAGACTACCTCATTGAAGAGATGTGCTGAGGAAGAAAGCCCAGCAAAACAGACCTGATTATCATTATTATTTCCAGTTTCCATCATTAAGTGCCACCTCCATGCCAGGCACTGTGTTAGGGGCTTACTTACACTATCCCTTTTTGTCTTCACAATCGCTCTTGGAGGCAGATATTATCCCCATTTTAAAGACGACGGAACTGAACTTTTGGAGGGTGTTTTCTTACTTATTCAAGGCCACACACTAAGTAAGAAGTATTTATTGTATTAAGTGGGAACTTAAATCCACTCTCTCTAACTATAGAGTCCTTATTCTTTCAACATCCACTCCACCTCTTTCAAAAAGAACGATGAAAGCCATAAAAGGAAAACAGGAAAAAAACAAGGCTGTGATAATCAAGGGGAAAGAACTTCATTCAATAAGGAGCACATGATCTGCTGGGTCGAATACAACAGAGAGATTAAGTCCAGGGCAAACCGAAAGAGGGTCCCAGCAGGAAAAGTTCTCATGAATTAGGGGACTGTCCTTGGCAGGAAAAATTAAATTGCAGCAGCCTGTCAGAGGATGAAGAAGTGGCTTCCCCTGGGAAGGTTGGGAGTAAAGGGCAGAAAGAGCAATAGCAAGAGAAGACAGAGTTAAAGGACAATTTTGTTTAATCTGGGCGAGGGGGAGGATGTTTCATGCTAAAGGGCAGGAACCGATGCCTGGGTAAAGGTGGAAGACAGGAAAGCGGGGTTCCCTGGTTGGGTGAGGTTCCCAAGGAAGAGAAGTTCAGAATCTTCCCACTCTCCCTGGTGTGTGCCCGCCCTCCCCCCTACCCAAGGTAGCCAACCTGTCCCTGCACCTCCAGCAGGTGACCAGCTAGCCTCAGCTGAACCCCCGCAACTAGGGAGTTCAGTGGAAACCTCCGCAGATTCTCAGTCGATCCTTGGCTGCCCGTCTCTGCCCCTCTTCTCAAGGGCCAGAACCCAGTGACTCCCCACTGCCCTCACTCTCGGTGTTTACCAGGCTGCTTTTCCTCCTTCCCAGGTGGACAAGATGTAAAGAGTAACCGCTTTGCCCTGTTTGTCTTGCCAGTCGATCATCGGAGCCACACACCCCAGCATCGTGGACTACGTGCTGGATGTGCTACGCACGATGCACCTGGAAGTCCAGTATGAAGGTAGGTGAGGCAGCCAGGCCTGCTCCGCAGCCCAGACGGTGGCAGTGAGAGCCAGGCACGTTTGCTCTTAGAAGTTCTCTCCTGTTCACTAAGAGCCTCGTTGAGTATCCTGGATAACCTTGGAAGATGCTGACTCAGTATTGATGGGCAAGTTATTCAGAAAACAACAGTCACATTCTATACTTCTCATCAACAATATGGTGCTTTAACAGTTGCTTAGAATCTGCCTTGTCCAGAGCTGACTTCCCAGTCTTATGTGGTGCTTCCCTTCTAAACAGAAATCGCCCTGAGGACTGTCTTCCTTCTAAGAAACTAAATCAGATGGTGGTAGTGTTAGTAAGTTTTTATTTCTTGAGTAACCCTATGTGCCAGCAACTTTGCATGCATCATTTCCCTTAATTATCAAAATAACCACAAGAATGCAGGGCCAAGCACATACTAGGTATCTGAACATTCCAATGGGTAAATGGTGGGAATAGGTTTTTTTATATTTTTCAAGCTAAAGCATCAAAGAGAGACGACGCTCTCCTAGGTTACCCAGCTAATCAGATGCAAAGGAGAGCTGCCTGACTCCAAAGCACGCGCTTCTCATATGTAGCACATGGCAGGTGTTTACACAATGTTATTTCCTTCTCGGTTCCTTTCTTGATTCAGAGAAGGGAGATTCTGTTTTTAGCAGGAGGGCTCAAGGAAGAATTTGCTGAGAGGGTGGTGTTTGAGCTGTCTCAGAACCTGGGAAGGATTTAGGGAAGTAGAAAGGAGCGGAGGCAGGCATTCTGGAAAAAGCAATGGTATACATGAAGGCCTAGGCATTGGGAAATGCAAAGTGTATGTGGGGAATGATAGGTAGATCATTTGGTGGAGGTCTCGGTCCAGGAAGACCAGAAAGGCAGGCCAGGACCAGACAGCGGAGCACCTTGAATGCCAGATGGAGTAGTGGGCACTGTTTCCAGGAGGCAGCTTGGAGCCTCCGAAACGTGAACCACGAACCAGTGAACGGCGAGGGAAAGCACCACCACAGGAAGTTGGCCTTGGCTGTGGTATGCTAGGTGGCCCAGAGCCACGGGGAGGCTTGAGGCTGGAGGCCACTTGGGAAGCTTTCTGGGTTGTTCATACAGCAAAATGGGAATGTATTGATATAGCTAAATACAGAGGCCCCAGAAAGAGAGAAAATGGACAAGACAGAACTGCCTGGAGAATGAGATGGCTTAAGGAAGGGAGAATGGGCAGGGCCGAGGAGGCCAGGACAGAGAAGAAAGATCTGAGCATCCGTACATGGTAGCACACGCTGGACGGGCTGATCCCCGTGTCTAAGAAGTCTGGGATGGGCAGGGGAGCAGGCAGGTACTGGGGTTCAGGTATCTAAGTGAGATCCTAGGGAAAATCAGCAAAGGTCTGAACACTCACTTTCAATATTATATTTTGGAGGCAGTGTTGAAATTGAACGTCAGTCATATTTTTCCTCCAGCAGCCTTATCAGTTTTGTATTTGCTTGACCCCTGAAGGTGTGTGTGGCTATAGGACCTTGTATGTTGAGAACACTATGTTGAAATGGATTACCAGCTAGAGCAGAGTCTCCCAGCTGGGGAGGAGTCGCCAGTGAGGGACGGACTGGCCTTAGGAGGCACCCAAGTAAAGGTCAGAAGGTCATTGCTGGCATTGGACCAAGGGAGTGGCGTGGTAGTGAAATCACGTTAGGAAGCTAAATCAAACAACCCCAAGAAGAGTAAATTGGGTGGCAATGAGACCTCCCTCCCCCAACCCCACTTCCCCGTGGCTGACGTGATCACTCCCACTCAACCGTCCCTTCTCAGCTTCAGCATTTCCACTCGGAGGCCTTCCCTAACCTGCCTGCCACCCCTGCCCAAATGTCAGCCCTCCTTCCTACGTACCACACTTTGCCCTCCTCCCCTCCAGTACCTCCCTCCATTGATGAAGTTACCTCCAGGATGGTAACTTCCCTTTACGTAGACTGCACACAACTTCATTGTAACTCACACAATTATTGTCCTTATGTCCTCAGCATAGTCCCTCGCATACGCTGGGTCCTCCATCCATGTTTGTTGAATGAATGAGTGTGCAAGTGAGCGAGCACTGCGCGCACACACCGTTAGTGGCCACTTGCCTGTGCGCCTTTCTCTTCCAGCCCTGTGAGCAACCTCAGGGCAGGGACTGGCTCTGACTCATTTCTGTTCCCGGCTCAGGGTCTGGGACTTAATGGGTGCTCAGTAGAAGTTTGTTGAACAAATTTATGAAAAATGGCTTAGCTTCATTTATGCTGATGAACCAACCCCTCCTGGGTTGGAACTAGATAACTCCTTCCCCCCACAGGGCCCCATTTAGAGTCCCTCTGTGTTTATTACGTGACAAGCCCCACTGTGGCAGGCAGAGCATGAGGCGTTATCACTGCCTTTTTGGTTTGATGTGGGCTCGTGTGACACACTGTACCTCAAATTATTTCCAATGTGCCGGACTCATAACAGGTGCCCAAGAAATGTCTGTTGAATTAGACTTTGTCACTAGACACTGCAAAATAGCCTTCCTGTAACCTGGAATACAGAGAACGAGTGTCCCCTGGGGGAACTACTTCACACGGTCCGGGAGTGGAGGGTGAGGGAGAGAATACAGCATTCAGCTACTCACGCTCCGCCAAAGGCAGGAGAGGGAAGCTCTGACAGGTCTGAGATGTGGTCCTGACGGGGGAGGCCGGAGAGGATTGGAGATGAATTTCTCTTGAGTTTGAGGACACCAAATTGCAGGACCAAGATGAAGCTTCTCCTTCAGCCCCAGGGTGACGGCAACAGTCAGGATAGAGAAGCCTGCGACCAGGAGGAGCAGGGGGTATAGTTGAATGGACTAACCTTAAAAGGGCAGGGTTGGTTTTTCAAAAAACAACTATTAATTAAACATCTGCCATGTGCCAAGTACTGGAGTTTTGTTCGTATTGAGGAGAAAAATGAATGGTTGGGAACCAGGAGCGTAAGAAGGATGTGCACTCCACCTCCCACGCTGTGTGTGTGGCTGTGGCGGAAGCGTGGGCAATACCTGTCCCCTGGGAAGGCTGCAGGGAAAGCGGAGTTCGTAGGCAGAGCCCCGTGAAAACAGGAGATGGAGAGGCTGGGGGGCTGGTGACTTTCCATGGCCCTGGGTGTCAGGGGCGGAGGAGCCAGGCGATGGCCTCGCCTCCTTTTTTTTTTTTGGAGAACTGCACATCCTCCCACCTCCAAATCGACCTATCTGCCTGGCTCACATTCTCTGCTCTTTCCCGTCATAAAGGAGTGTCCGGCTCCAGCACAGGCCACCTCTTCTACTTCTGCCAGGGCTCTGAAGCACATTCCCCCAGACCTCTCCTCTGCACTTCCACACGCCCTTTTCTTCTACTGGGCCGTCTTCACTGATGTGCGGATATGCTCTGTGTCTTAATAAGGAGCCTCCCTGGTAATCTCTGGAGTAAAAGATTTAAAAGACATGTCCCCCAAAAAGGGTAAAATTCTTTTATAGTGTTTAAGGATACATACTCCTCCTCGAAACAAAGTGCTCCTCCAGCTAATCATTTTTCCATTTTCTTCCTGCTCGATCTGTTACTTCTGACCCAGTTGGTCAATAGCAACTCACTTTCTTCTCTCGGCTTCTGTGACTCCACTTCCAGATTTCCTGCTGCCTGCTGGTTTTGCTGTTTTTGCTAGTTTCTCCTATTTCTCTACCAGACTCTTGGGTCAACGTACTTCTCATCTCTTTACCAACACCTTCTACCTGTGTGATTTTGTCTAATGCCATGGCTTTAATTATCATATATTATGTTATCTATTCAGACACCAAATCTGTATCTGCGGCCTGATCCCTCCCCTGAAATCTCCATTCTAATTGAGATTTCTGCTCAGGTAAAAGGTTAGGACCAACACCAGAGGACCTTCCCCTTCCCTCCTCCCACCCCATCCCGTCCTGGCCAAGTCCCTAGGCTCCATCTCTACTCACCTTCTTCATCGCCACTGCAGTCAGCCTAGACCAAGCCGCCATCCTGTCTCCTGACTTACCTTTCTGCCTCCATCCTGGCTCCCTGTAATCCATTCTCCCCGAGAAGAGCAGCCAGAGCACTTAGTTCTAGAATGGGGACCAGACAATGTCACTCCTTCCCTGTACACCTGCCCTAAAGCCCATGCCAGTGAAGCGGGGGAGCCTCTTCCCCGGACCTTGGATTGATGGGCAGCTCTTCAAACTTCAGGCGTTGCCTCAGATGTCACCTCAGAAAGGCACCTTCCTGAGCACTGTCGCTAGAGCTTCCTCATTCCCTCTCACCGCCCACCTGGGTCTCGCTCCATCCCATCACATCACAGCACTTAACCTCCTTTGGAAACCACCTTGCTTGTTTCTGTGTTTACTTGTTTATTGTCGGTCCTCTGTTAGAAAGTCAGCCCCAAAGGAGCTGGGGCTTTGTCATTTTTGCTTACTATTGTGTCCTTAGTGCCTAAACTTTAAAGTTATGTGTTCAGACAGTCGTTAACTGAATGAATTGGGATGACTGAGTGGGTACAGCATAATTTGTACTGATGGCTATCATATTGGGAATAGGATTTGAAACACTAGTTTCTTTTTTTTTTTTTTTTGTCAAGATGACTAAGTGGAGGCTGTGTGCCTTAAATGGCTTTGTTTCCTGAGAGTCCTGAGGGCCAGAGAAGGGGGTTTGGAGAAGGAAGAGAAAGAGAAGGTTTCTGGAGGAAAGTAGGAGAAAGTAGGAAGGTGCGGCTTCGAGAGCAGAGGGTACGTGTTCCGGGCACCTACTGCCTGTAACAAACCATCTCAAATCTAGTGTCGTAGAACTATTGCTGTCACTGTTTTACTTTCGCATATGATGCAGGCCAGGAATCTGAGCGGGGCCCAGCGGAGATGGACTATCTCTGTTCCATGATGTCCAGGGCCTCGCCATCTGCCGTTTTATCCCTTTGCCTCAGCCTCCACTATGGTTCCCCAGAGCACTCTTACTGATCCTGTTTTTACTTAAC